AATCTACAGATTCACAGGAACAAGAATTATCATCATCAGTTAGTCCACAGTATGAGAATATACCAGCTCCACAGTCAGTACTATCAATGAAAGAATGTGCTGCTTATAGTGTAGTAGAGGGCACAAGACTTTAATAATAAATAACTTTAATATCTTGTTCTTTTATTGAGGGTCTGGCACTTGTCCTTTCAGATCTAACTTAATTTATATTTTCTCTCTTTCTCTGTTGGATCATACTTTCAGTTGTTGTTATCCTATTATTATGCTTTGGATAGGAAAAGTGTTATTTTTGGTTGTTGCCACCGTTAGCTTTTACTAACTATGCTCTGTTTCATAATAATATTGACTGAGTGTTATGATCACATTGTTGACCTTGTACACCTTGTTCACACCTTAAAGTGTGAACAAGGTGTCAAATACAATTTCCTCTTTATCATGTAGAATTATTTTTACTAAACTGCTCAGCTAAACAGAGCAACTCTCTGAAGACTGGGAGGAGATAATAAAGCCACTCCTCAACAATTAATGAACAATGATGGTTTCAATTCTGCTTGCTGCTACAATAATATTGTGTCAATTTCTTGCTCCTGCTGCTGGTATAAGAATAAGATGATTATGAGTTTTATATTGTATAATAGGTACATTTACTATTGTTCCTGTCACACAGTATGCATATATTAATGATACTGTGGCATTCGAATGTGCTACTTATGTGACTGGATATACTCTCTCATTTTTTTATGGAACTAATGTAATGCCAACTGAAACTGATTTACCTAATGGAGGAAAGAGGACAACATTTACTGCTACTAGTGAAGTGAATGGTACTAACATTTTTTGCTTGGCTCGTATGGGCATCATGACAAATATCACTGAAGTAGCTTATATTTATATTCAAGGTATCATGATCATTAAATTTTAACATCATGTAAGATCTATCATTGACAGGTCCACCTGATAGTGTCAGTAGTTTAACAGGATATCAGTTAGATTCTTGTTGTATGTTTATCAGTTGGTATCCTCCATTCACACTACCAGGACTAACAGTACAGTATATAATCAGTGTAGGAACTGATCAACAGTACCTAAATGACTCTATCACTAACTACACTTACTGTCCAATGAACCCAACCATTAAACAATATCTGTTTAACATTACAACTACTAATAAAGCTGGAAATGGAACTATTAGTAACATAACTGTTGGATTTGAAACAAGTAAGGAACAAAATAGCTAGGTCTTTAATTATTTGTAATAGGTTCGGAGTTTTTGAGCATGTACCAAGAACCTTTTACATATCGAATGAACAAAAATTGGAGTTTATTTTTCATTATACCAGTTAGTATAAATCTTCATTGAGCATACAATACATGTATGTATTTACAGGGCCATGACTTATGTCTTGGAGTATCACTTGCTAATATTACAGTAACAAGCTGCACTGTTGGTAATTCTAGTAACTGCTATTCGTCAACAACAGTGTCTATCATTAATAGCTCTTACAATAACATTTCCCTTGCTGCTATTATCAGTCTTCCCTCAAGAGAGATACTGGATACTATTGTTATCATACATTATCAAAGTGGAGCAAATTCTCACAGCAATACTATTAGAATCAGTTAGTGCATGCATGTAATGAGTATAAGTATTTTATTGATGTTTAGGTACTTATGATCTTCAGCAATTGAGATTGATTAATACTCTGGTACTCAATAGGGTCTGCATTGAGTTTAATTTTGTCAATGGCAGCACAACTAATAATGTTCATATTCATATCACTGGTTATGAACACTCAAATTCTCAACTAGAGTTTAACTGTATATCTCGTAATGATCAACTCAACTTTATTCAGTGTATTACTAACATACCAGCAGGTAACAACTTAACACTGCAGGTAATGGAGGACTGTACTCCTAATCCTTCTGCTGTATTAACTGGTATCAATATTAGTGAAGCTGATATAGTCTGTAGTAATACTTTTACACAGTACACAATGAGCTCAGTAACTTTATATGAAGAC